GACAGCATACGATGTTTGAAATAATCTTGTTTAACATCGTTTTCAAAGAGTTTAAATTCGTGAATTACACATTTATAATAATAGGAAAATTGAATAGGTATGATCATGAAATTTAATATGAATGCTCATTAGTGGGTATAGCAATGGCTGTTGTAGGCTTACCGTGAATCCTCGAAAGCGCAGCACCAAACATGATTTTTTTTCGCTAAGCGCTGATTATTCTATTTTGAATAAGCACCGCGGCGCTTAATCGAGTGTACGGTACATACCCTGTTACACTTTCAGAAACAAGATTTTTAAGTACAATGTATACAGTGGAGTAGCTAGAGGTTTTGGCGCCCGGGGGAAAGAATAGAAAATTGCGCCCCCCCCCCTCCCCCCAATTATAATAGGGCCTATTGTGAAATAAATTTATATTGGTTGTATAGAATTTAAGCATATCCGTACTGTACATCCGTAAAAACAAGCACTGTTCTAGCTCTCATATAGTTGGTTCTTTACCCGGGGTGGCGTCAGGATTTGCACTGCTGACATTTGATGTGTAAAAAAGATTGGAGAGGTATACAAATACTATCTTAAAAAATTGTCATTAAAAACGAAAATTTTTCGTCAACCGTAAGAAAAAGAAATGCAAAATACATTTCCAATTAAAGTCTTGAATGAGTGTTTAATTACTGTTTTCCCTGGATGTACTATTTTTAACTTTCTGAAATTTGTGACAGTACTCTCCGCAAATTATGTATCGTAGGCAATGTTGCTTTAAGTCGAGAGGGCGGTGTGTATCTTACACAATAAAGCTATTGTAAAATGTTACTTTCATAGTAAGAGATGTTCTGTACCAAATATAATATTCTCAGTTATTAATAATTTATGTAAATCATGTATGTTATACTTTGGATTCTAATTGCCAGATCACTATGATTACCGTATACTCGCGCGAATAAGCGCCCCCTCGATGTTTATTCATTTTTTGAAACAATATCTTATGATTTTTTTCTCAGCAAGCCAATAACCAATCAATCCTGGGACTCTGGTTGGCATGATTTGATCTGTGGAGTGGATTCACATATTCTTCTAGTATGTCAACTTCAAAATGAGAATATTTTCTTCTAAACAGATAAGACAGTATCTTTCCAACTTTCCTCTTCTCACCTTATTCTAGTCTTCTTTTCCCGACAATTTGCAACTTTCAGCACGTCTTAATTTTGCAAGAAGCCCTCTGCAATGATCCTACTAATTATCCCAATGAGCAGATGGTTAACAAACATATACACCACCACCAAATTCATCTGTTGTTGTTCTTCTTCTCAGGAGCCATGCTCTCTGGACGATTTCTTTTCTGCACCAGAACCATTCGTAATCTTAGGTTTCCAGATGTCCTTATACAATCTTTTTTCATTCAAAAAGTGCTCCTTGAATTTTCAAAGCTCCCATAAGAGACCCTCAATTTCCACTCTGTTTTCATAAGCGCCCCATTTGAATAAGCACCCGTCAAAAAGTGCAAAAAAAAAATATTTTAAGCGCCCGGGCGCTTATTCACGTGAGTACGGTATTAGTACGAATACAATATGAATACAATACTAATTTTAAAATACCAAATTAATTTATTTGTAACACGCAAAATACACAATAATATATTAATGATATAATTAAATGCTATCATATATATAATTAATTTTAATATTATACAGCAAGTTGTAATAAAATATAATTCATACTAGTATTGTATATTCCTTCATAATTCTATTCTATTTATAAAACAAATACTTATAACAATATATTAAATTTAATAAAAAATTAAAAAAGATAAAATTAGTCAAACATGCAAATAGTAGGCCTATTGCTTTGATTAATAAAATTTAACAATTTCAATCATCTAATCAATTTTATATAGCCAACCTAGGCAACTCTTGCTAAAAAGATACAATTTTTCCATTGAAAGGTTTCTTCCACGACTGGGATGAGCAGTTTCAAGTAGACCAAACCCAGTAACGATTTTAATTGTACAAGAAATTTACTCATGATAGACATGACGATTTTATTTGCTGTGGCGCCAAGCAAGAAGGTTATCGTGCATCATGACTTTGTTTTCTCTGTCATCGTTCACTTCGAATTTTTTTCCAATACTCAATAAAATCAAGCAATCACATCACAAGGCAAGACTTTTTTTCTACATTGTTTCGCAAACTTATTTTTTTAAGATCGTTGAGTGGCTGAGTAAGGGGCTAGCTACAGCCTTAACATCGGTGCTGGTTAGAGCCGCTCCTCTCCCATGGTTCGGTTGGTAGAACCAAGTCTTCTATTTACGGCTGCTGGGTAGTCACGGACCACGCCCATACGCAATTCAACACAATGACGCTGCAAGTTGTGGGTGTTCTCCTACCTTTACTTTTATCGTCAGAGGAGGGTGGAAAAAAAATAAAATTTTGTTTAATACTTATTATAAACAGTATAGTATTTATTTATTTACCTTAAGAACATAGGCCATTTGGAACGGCGGCACATACAAGAGTGGTGCGTTCAACTTAAATTACAAAAATATGAAAATTAAGTAAAGGTGAAGAACACTTCTACACAATTATTTATAAACTTTGCACAGTATACACAGAATAAACTGTACATACAAAATTAAGACTATAACTTAAAAAAAAAAGAATTATATCATTGAAAATTAAAGGTATGGATTAATTTTTATACAGGCATACTCCTGAAAAAAAAACAACTTACAAACATAACAATACAGTATACTGTATGTATATTTGTAAGAGGTCGCTCCCAAATATCAGCATTTTCACAAGTGCACAAACATTATGCTAGGGGAAGGGGGAGGGGTAGACCAATTTATACGCTTCTACAATTATGCATGATTTTTTTTTATGACCAAATTATAATGTAATCATGGATATAATGTATATTAAGTTATGTACAGCTGAGCAAATGCAGTAATTTACAGTAGATGATTTTCCCCCACCCCCCCAAAAAAATGGAGAATTGTTTTGCAATATCAATATCAAAGAAGGAAGGGAGGGGGTAACAGAGAACAGTGTGGTTGCACGTTTGTGAAGATGTTGATAGTTGTGAACGACCCTTAACAAAACAAAACGTGACGAAAAATAAAAATAAAGATAACAGTAATAAGAGTCGAAAAATTCCATTAAACTACAACAATAATAAAAATAAACATAAACATTTCAATGCAACAATACATTTGATTTGACATCAGGTTTGAACAGACTTAAATGGGATGGCTAAATGCTTTAAATTTATATAACTAGGAAGAAATATACATATCATCTTTTCGAAGATTTCAAGGCAGCAGCAGGCGTGACAAAAATAAAGAAAAGGTTTCTTTTTTTCCCCTGAAATTTCCAGTTTTTGTGGCAACGTGTGCGCTAATTGGCCAAAAATAAGATTTTATTTATATTTGAAATCATCATTATTGGCGGGCAGCAGGTTTGCTACACATGGTATACAAAAGTCTCGCCTAAGATGGATGTTCAGTTCCAGGGTAGTTTCTCTGAGTTAAAATATAATCAATAATAGAAAATAAAATATACATAATACAGTACTGTACTTCTCATTACAGATTAGGTGAGATATTAGTTATTTTCTTATTTTAACCTTTTTCTGAACACAATGGTTGTGTGGAATTTTAAACAAGGATCGAGTAAGTTCCACAATAATTCAACCTCAGAACTTTTTATTGAATCGATTGTAATTTTTTTATTTGGATTGTATACAGATTTTTGTACTCAATTGAACTGATTGACCAGGGGTTCAAAGTGGGCCACCAATTGTGTTGGGTCTAACAAAATATTGCTCTGGACACTCTCAATGTCATTTAATCTATTTCCACTCTTGTGTCAAATAAATAATAATGTTTGAATATCATATAGAATGATCAGCAAGTTCCTTTTTTGTAGCCACACTGCCCACCGCCACCTCTTGAGCAAGTACATTTTGGCGATATATAAACTCTTCCGACTCTACTGAACCATGACCATTCAGGATGATTCGATTAGCATACACATCAATTGTACCAAATGCGTCTGAACCTGGAGGTGTCTCCACCACTGCTGGTATACAAATGTGATGTATGTTGGCATCTAATGTGTACCTTGTTCTATGCAGATGTCCAGCAAACGTTGCAACAACACAACTGAATTTATGTAGGATTTCGAGGACGAGTTCATAGTCCCAGAGGAGGCACATCTGATCTTTTTTATGTGGGTAAAATGGAATATGACCTGAAAAATAAATAAAAACATCTTTATTAACATAACATTTAAAAAAAAAGCTTTATTAAACTAGTTCTTTAAAGTGAATGATAATTTTATTCATAAAAAATGAAGACACAAAATAAAATAAGACTTACCAAATATCATTACTTTTTCATTATCATTTTCTGCAGACTGTAGAACCTCCTTCAACCATTGCCTCTGACGTTCACCAATTGCACCATTAAATTCCACAAAACGACGGTCATTTCCTTTCAGACCTACGGGAGAGTTTAATTCCTTGTTGAAATTGACTGAAGTTAAAATTTCCCTGGATTGTTGTGTAACAGAGCAGTCCTCACCCCATCCTAACATAGCAACATCATAAGAGTCCATTATGACAAAACGATAGCCTTCGAATGGGCTGAAATGATAGTAAAATTTTTTCCTTGAATCATCTTCCCTTGCACAATTGTAATTTTGAGTCGACATGAATCCATTGACAACAGAGAACAATTTACTTTCGCAGAGTTCATCCCGTGTAAAATTATAGAGTTCATGGTTACCAATGAGATGATGAACAGGACCTGGGAACTGATCAAGCTCATCCATGACCAAAGACAACACCCGCCAGGACTCAGCTTTCCCACCATTTTTAGTATTACACCCATCGATAACATCACCAAGTTGAACAACGAATGAAATGTTCCGCTTATCTTTCATCCAATGATCAACTGCATTGCGTAAAGATGGCAAGGCATTACGATAGTAGCGCATATTTGTTTGACTAAAATTATAGCAATTGTCGTTGTCTGCATATTGCACATCAGCAATAACTCCAAAAGAAAATTGTGGCTCCATATTTACCAACAGTAAATCTCACTAGCACGGCAGGGTCAACAATGCCTTAAATTAACTTTAAACCTGGAAAGAAGGGAAGAGAGATTTGAAGTTGTGTAGTTGTTTAATTACGATTAAAAAGCCTATTCTCACTAAACATGCAGGCAACTTCAAGACCTTCTACTAGTGCTAGTGTACTGCTCTAGCCTACTAGGGTGCAGGTCAACTCGGCCACAAGTCAACTCGGCCACAGTCAACTTGGCCACAAGTCAGCTCGGCCACAAGTCAACTCGGCCACAAGTCAACTCGGCCACAAATCAACTCGGCCACAAAAAGTTCGGCTGCAGCCAACTCGGCCACAAGTCAACTCGGCCACAAATCAACTCGGTCAACTCGGCCACAAGTCAACTCGGCCACAAATCAACTCGGCCACAAGTCAACTCGGCCACAAGTTATTTAATCTAAATCTAAGTTTTTGCATCCTTTTTCTTCAATATATGATTTAAATAAAGTACACAGTATGTTTTAGTAAAACAAGACCACCACACTACCAAAAGAGATTTGAATGCTATTGCCTATGAATTAAAAAGAGTTATTTATTAATGTGTTCGTCTTCTGTTTACTCTCAACATTCTACTTCAACAATAATATTAAACAACAATAACGACAATAAATGAGTAATATTTACATTAATAATACTAATTAGTCATTATGACAATAATAAATGTGATAATAACAACAACAACTTTAATAGTAATATTTATTTTAACAAATAGTAATAATACTAGTATGGTAATAATAACGATATTTAAATATATCAATTTTAATAACTAATTAGTGATAATAACGATATTGAAGGTGATAATAGCAATAATACAACAACAATAAATTAAAGATAATGTTTATTTTTATAATAATAGTAATACTAATTAGTAATAATAATAATAATAATAATACTTATAATACTAGGCCTACTTAGTAATAATAGGGTAATAATATCGATAATAAAGGTGACAACAACAAATAATATTAATAATAATAATATGAGAAAAATACTAATACAACGCCCATAACAACAACTTTTTAAATTACTATTATTAAAATTATAATACTAAGACTAATAAATAATAATAATAATATTAATATGAATAATAATAATAAAAAATCGAAAATTATTTATTATTTATATGGTACTGTAATAATAATAATATCATTTATATAATTTGAACAATATATAATGTTGTTAATGCTGACTAATAATTAATATTAAAACTAACGGTAATAAAAACAACAATAATAATATTAATAACAACAATGACAACAATAATAACAGCAATAATAATAATAACAATTAGTACAATGTACTACCAGTAAATGACTTGTGGCCGAGTTGACTTGTGGCCGAGTTGATTTGTGGCCGAGATGACTTGTGGCCGAGTTGACTTGTGGCCGAGTTGACTGTAGCCAAACTTTTTGTGGCCGAGTTAA